ATCAATGACTTGCACGTGCAAAGCCGATTTAAGAGAACGTTGCAAACACATTATTGCAACTTTGTTGTATTGCAGCAGGTAGGTTCTTAACCTCAAAATACTTATATCGTATCATTAGAATTGTGTTAAATCAATTACACAGGAATAAATAATTTCTCACTTTATAATTTTAGTATGATTCTAGTTTTAAATATTAAGGTTATGGCTGATGGTAAATACTTGCTGAAATATAATCATGTGCATTAAAATGACGTGAACAAATTTTTATTCCGGAATTCACTTCTTTGATACCTACTGCTTTCATCCAAGCTTCTATTAGTTTACTTTTTTCTCTAATTTTCCGAATATATTTTTTACATATATAAAACGGTTAGTTTTTATTGGAAAGTAGTTAATGTAGGTGAAGAGTGAAGATCTATGTCTGAAGTGCTATTGCAGCTTTTCACTGAACATATTAACTTTTTATTTGATTTAACTTTAGAAGAAAACTTCGTCGACTCCATCATCAAAAAAATTTTTACTTTTTTAACGTGTTTTATTATTTTAATAAACAATTTTACAATTTGCGTGCACAGTTCCTATGTAAATTTTTCCCTCATTCGAGTTATAAATTTTGCCATCAGATGGTGTATGCCCATTTGACGGATCCCAATACAAACAATATTATATGTACATCACTATTTATTCACAATTTCTATTTGTCTATATTTAAATAATTAAATTTCCCAATGGGACTCTTAGTTCAACCTGTAATTGGGAATAATATTACTTAAAAAGAAGACAATTTTTAACAAAATTGCGATTAACATTCGTAAGGGATTTTTCATCGTTATTCCCGACAATTTTCGCGATTAAGTGCAACTTTCCGAACTTTCCGTGGCGCACTGCCGCAGGCAATAATTTTTCATCTCCTCATCGTGTACTAACACAGCGACAACGGGGATCGGCAACGTTCACGTTTGTACCACACACGTACACACATAATATGGCTGCAGAAGCAGCAGCAGCATCGGTGTATTAATTTGTTGCGAAGGTGGCTTTATCACGACCGCAACTTTCAGTGCATCGAATTCGATAGATTACCACTGCGGGCTATCATTTTGCTGCAGCAGTTGTGCAACTAATTTGCATAGATATGAACAAGCTGCGATGAACTCGTTACTTTAGTTTAGTTGCAATATGGCCGAAAATAAAACAATAGTAAAAAAAAAACAGTACCCGTATCATATCTACCTCACATAGATAAATATTGCGACCTACATCTGCGAAAACACTAGACTGCTAACGGCGGAAAACGTGTTAAATCTGCGCTTGGCAAAATGAATTTGCTTCAGCGTCGCTTCATTGTGAACCATTCATTAAACTTGCCTAATTAATAAAATTATTTCAAGACTTGGAGCTAAAATGTGAATTTTGTAGATGTACGCCTCTAGAATACAATACCGCTTTATGTTAGATTAAAATAGATGCACCGTCGCTAGACTTTCGTAAATGTGGTGTTGCAGGCAAATGATGACAATATCGTGGGTAGAAAAGGTTAGAAATGAGGAAGTATTAAAAAGACACAGGGGGCTATGGAAGTCTATAAAAAAATAGGTTGGTAGGCATGGCATGGAGACATATTAGAAGCAATAGTAGGAGTTAAAAGGAGCAAAGGACGTCTTAGATTAGATTACTCATTCACAAATAGTTAAGGATCTGGGATGTTCTACTTTTAAGCAGTGGTGGATTGACCAGCAGGCTGAGAAGGCTGGAGCCTAGAGGGGGTGGCAAATTTGTCCCAAAAATCCGCTTCTGAAAGAATTTTGATAAAACCAGATTCTAGATCATTAAAAAGTCTATCGTCGTTTCTGCGAAATCAGAATTTGAAGAACATTTATCCAAACTTGGATATAGCAGATCGCATGGCTCTGTGTACACCAGCGACAAATTGTGAGAGAAGCTTTTCTTGCTTAAAGCGGGTGAAAAACTATCTACGATCTACATTATGTCAAGAAAAGCTAAATGCCTTAGCTCTTTTGTGCATAGAATCAGAACTAATGAACAACATTTCATACGACGATATAATTGACGATTTTGCGGATTTAAAATCGCACAAAAAGGGCATGTCATGTAAATCTTTTATAACAACTTAATTGATTTTATTGTGATCATCAAGCAGATTGTTAACGGATAATTTAATAGGAATACTGTTCGTATTGTTTTAAAAAGTCCAATAAAAAATATACCTCTTTTAGTCTTTTAATTCTAAAATATTTTCTTCCAACTTCTTTCGTCCGCGTAGGGTATAGAAATGCATAGGTCAGAAGGGGCGGCAAAATTTGAATAGCCTACTGGTGGTAAATGTGTCTGCTTTTAAGAAAATGAGAAAATTAGCTCAGGATAGTAAAAAGTGGGTTTCCAACCAGTATTAGGACTGATAACCGTACCATGATAATGATCCGGAAATCTGAGCATGCATACTATGTTTATGGGGTCGATGATTCCAAATCCGAGGTCGTCCAATTGTTTATCCTGAAATTGACACATTGAATACGCCCTGTATAAGTGGCTTATCACAACAAAAATATTATATTCATCGATCCGAAAAAAGGCTCAACTGATACTTTAGAGAGGTGTTAAGAAAAAACCTACAACTTTTTAAACCTTATTTGGCCATACGGGAGAAGTTTCCTTGCTAAAGAAAAATTTATAACCACACTACTCGAAAATTCTATTAAAAATTTTTGCTAACTTTCAAAGGCAAGGAATCTCGAAAGATGTGGAACTCATATAGCTATTTATTTATCTGTCAAAGTCAACTCTATTTGTCGATAAAATTTGTTCAACCCAATACAAAAAAGTCCTCCTGGAAAACTTTCTTAATATGGAATCGGTTTTCAAAGTATAAGCACAAAACATATGAATAAGTAAATGAAAGTAGGGCAAAAACTAATATTAAGAATTGATCCACTTTAAGGATAGAATTGGACAATTTTCAATTTTTTACTTAATCGTTTAATGAAACCAATTACACAAATAAAATTCTCTTGTCTAAATTTAGGGACCGTTATCAAAAAACGTTTCAGTTTTCACTTCCAGTTGTTTATTTGTTGCGAAAATGACTAAAGAGGGAAATCAATTTCATTGCGGTTTTCCACAGCTGTTCATGATGTGCCCAACGTTTTCGCTCATTTTGGTTTTTCCTTTTGTTATAAATGGAGAATGAGAATTTAAAATAAACAGCAAATTAGTTTCTTTGTCATTCTTCAGGACTACACAGGAAAGAAAAAATAAGTTCTCGTGAAAAATATCTAACCAATTATCATTTCTCAACGCGGGAACAGCAATTAAGGCTGTGTCAGAATACCGAATGAGTTCAGTGAATAATACATTCCGTTAATAGATTTAATAGCAGGAGGACTTTTGGTAATCTCATTTAAAAAAATAAATTGCCAAAATCTACGACAAGCGCACTTCTAATCTTGCTGAAAAACAACAGCTGCCTTATTGTGACGGATAAAATTATAAGGGTGAAAGTTAGACAAGAAAATACTTCGAAAAAGAATACCAATTAAGTGCACAATAAGAGCATAATCTAAATTACCATTCGAGAGCGAAATTACAATAAAAAAAAACCGTAGGGACAACTAGATTAAATAGTAGAAGGTTATGGATGTCTAAGTATCTAATTATGGATTGATATTAAATATTGTGATAAGAATTTGATACAAGGAGTTGTCGTTATGCCATAATTGTTCAAAGTCACTTTGTAAATGACAAGTTGAGTAGTTTAAGTACACAGATTTTGTTAGTGTAATTTTTAATAGGACAACATTGATATTGCGTAATGAATGCAGTCCAAAACTATGAAATAACGAACTAGAAAAAAGCAGAAATTTAAATTATCTTTTATTTTGTCAATAAAAGCCCAATTTTGTTTTACTTTATTTCATTTGCATGAGTATTAATCTATTAACCATACCTAAAAAGACGCGGATAGGTGCGANGCGTTATATTATTATGTTAATGCACCGATAACGTGTTTAAATGACGCACTTGTAGGGGTATTTTAACGCAGATGAAGTGCATTTTGAAATAATTCACATAAAAATGTGTAAAAAGTGACTACATCCAAATAACACACTTAAGTGAGTTAAAATAACGCATTTAGATTTACAGTGTAAGCTTTAGAATGCAACTGCTTTATCACACTTCCTGCAGTTCACGTTTAAATCATTTAAGTATTTAAGATAAGAAAACATCAACTGATCGATTCGAAAACTATACCAATTGTAGAAATAACTTATTTATATAGAATATGCCCACAAACCTATACTTATTTCGTGAAATTATGTTGCCTAGATAAATATCATAATAGACACGTGTATCATGTGTGTGCATGAATATATACAAAGACACACAGGAATATACAAGTGGTAACCCCGCAGTCGATTCGGCCCATCTCTTTAATTAGAACATAATTGATGCATCAGCAACATGAGCCAACATGTCCAGCAGAATTCGCATTTTCGGACATTCGCAATTTGGAATTTCATTACAAATTAATGACCGGTCGCTTTTCCCAGATAAAACAATTAGATATACTACGGAATGGCGTTGGCAGATAGAGGTATAGAATTTCTTTTACGTTCGTATTGACTCCCATCAACACTTGCAACGATACGCATGTATCGGCGACAGGACAAAGAACTTGATACAAAATTAAATGGAAAATTGTTAAATGTAAGTAATTTATTTTCAAAATGAAAATCATTGATATTAACAGATACCAACCAACTCAGTATTTTCAAAAATGAGCAATAAACGTATAAATCAATTTTGATAATAAAACAATCGAATTTGTAGATGATACTTGATTAAAAAAAGGAATTAAAATCCTATTCTATTTTCACCGCGTTCTGTACTCCTGGATGACGCCCTAAATTCGACATGCGTAGGTACATGGCACATACGATACAGCTTGCATTTTCTCAATAAAACAATAATTGAAATTTTACCTTATCGATACTAAAAAGTCCTCCGGCCATGGTAGGTGAGAAAACGGGTTCCCAGTCACTCGTGTGTTTTTGCTTTTCTCGATCGGGAACGGCATGCCAATTGAATTGCAAATTCCAGTCGAATCCACCCACGTTAACCACGTGATTTTTCGAATGATACTCGAATGTAGTGTCATCGATGACATCTATAACGGGACACACCACGGTTGTCTTGTTTCTTGCTATACGATCAAGGAGTGGCTCCAACCATCCTGGAGTGCATTCGCAATGAGAATCGAGATAAGTCAGGACCGCGCCGTTGGCATGTCTGGCACCTGGAACAAGGAAACGGGAAACTTATGTAAAATTTGAGGCATCATTGTTGCTATATTATCAGCTGAACCAAGCTTTAAATGTTTAATTTGAAACAGGATTCGATAAAGTTAATGATTTTATTACAGATGGCGAAAAACAACTATTTTAATATTACCTACTAATTAATTGACGTGTACAATAGTATTTTCAACTAATAAAACATTTGAAAGTTGACAACAGCGTCATAAAGCTTGATTCACACTATCCGTATGTTGACGGACAGTGGTCGCCCGTCAGGTGCCTATCAGTTTTATGCTGTATTCTCATTATACAATGACCGCCAGGTTTTTGGCAATTTTGGGGACTCAGCCCAATTACCACTAACATAATTTTACTGAGCGGATACGCATTTCGCCCACTTCAAATGTGGGCATTACCAACGCGAGACTGAGTCTCCTACTTTATTTACTTATTAATTCACCACAATCTCCTTGTTTCTATTTTATGTAGTAAGAGTTACACTGCAAATTCAAGAGCGTTATTTCAACCCATAATAAGAGCGTAATTTTTAATAATACACGAAATGTACGTTATTTTTACCTGTAAATGTGTGTAATTTTCTTGACGCCCAACATAGGTGTCAAAACAACTCATTTATATGAATTTTAACTTTTGAAACTTATTAATTTTAATAATTTTCAAAAAATTCTTGCCCATTCTTGTTTAGAATTGTTAATCAATCCCATCGGCAGAATCCATCAACTTTATTTCCAAACCAATTAAGTCCTTTACGATGAACTTGTGAGTTAGTATCAATGAAAACAAACCCAACAATTTTATTATTGGGATCCGTCAAATGGGAGGAGCCTAAAAACATGGCGCCGATTAGGGAAAATTTATCGTAGTTCCTATAGTGTACTGTGCAATTTCCACGTTTTTAAATTACGATAAAATGATAAGTATTGACATAATATGTGATTGGGCTGACACAAAGCCTCGGAAAGGAAATTTCGTTGAAGGTGAGCGTGTTTTTAATGCCAATCACATTATAAAATTCGGAAATAACAAATNCATACTTTCATGTTTTCAGTTCTATCTAAAAACTCCAGTGTAAAAATGAAAGAAATAAATACTTATTTGAGGTTATTTTTCATGCAGCTTCTCTAAAATTGACACATTAATGATGCGTTATATTATTATGTTATTGCACCGATAACGTGTTTAAATGACGCACTTGTAGGGGTATTTTAACGCGGATGAAGTGCATTTTGAAATAATTCACATATGAATGTGTAAAAAGTGACTACCTCCAAATAACGCACTTCTATCTAAAAACTCAAATGTAAAATTGAAAGAAATAAATGCTTATTTGAGGTTATATTTCATGCAGCTTCTCTAAAATTTACACATTAATAACGCGTTATATTATTATGTTGATGCACCGATAACGTGTTTAAATGACGCACTTGTAGGGATATTTTAACGCGGATGAAGTGCATTTTGAAAAAATAACACACTTAAGTGAGTTAAAATAACGCAATTAGATTTACAGTGTAAGCTTTAGAATGCAACTGCTTTATCACACTTCCTGCAGTTCACGTTTAATCATTTAAGATAAGAAAACATCAACTGATCGTGAGACCATTTAGGAAGTCGGGCAGCGGGCATATCTCAGATACTTTCTCGTATTCATCTTCATTATAATCTCCTAGAAATCGCAACTTTCGAATGACATACATATACCTAGGTTTACCAATAAGGTTTAAATAGAACTAAGTATAATTTTTTGTGTAAGCAATAAAATCTTTCGTTTCGAGAAACGTTTCCTTAAAGCTTGAATCATTATAAACGGAGAAATTTTGGGCAAGCACATGTGAAAATTGGTTAAAAATAACCCTCACTTATAGATATTTTCCTCTGATTTCGCAGAAACTCATTTTCATCAAAACGTATACCACAGTACTACACCCCGCAGCGCTTATATAAATTTAAATTGGCTACGACTACTGTAGACCGAGAAATTTTGGACAACTAAATTTGAAAATTGGTTAAAAAGGGCCGTCAATTATGAATAATTTTCTTGGGTTTTACAAAAACATATTTTCGTCAAAACACATGCCACATTGAGCCACCCTGCCGCGCTTACATCATACAAATTTAAATCAGTTTCAACTACTACAAACAGAAAAATTTTGGACTAAAAATAAATGATTTACTAATTTCAACTCAACTTTTCAAAAATTGATAAAAAAGGTTTTCCTAAAAAAATTCCCATTTGAAGTACCTATCTAATACCTATACTCATTAAAAGCTATGGGGATTGTTTTCCAAAGTAAATAGTTTTGCTTAGAACATTTGAATAAACAATAAAAATAAACCCGTTACTCTCATTTAATTATAGAAATAATTATAATAGTCAATCAAATACAGAAAACCATTGTGTATACCTCATCATTTACCTATTAATACAATACACAAATATGCACATATGCATCATGTTATCAACTGAAACTTCAGGTCAACGGAACCAACTTCCAGGATCATTGTAAACTTTTCCGCAAACAAAATTATGCTAAAAATACTTCCCACAATCAAATAAATAATAATTATTATGTATCTACTTGCATTAAGGTTTCATTTATTATAATATTAAACTACACCGAATAACAACAACGTTAGTGAAAGTAAAACTACCGAACCACCTCAACCTTGACCGTACGCCAAGACAAACCGATGATAACATTCGTCTGTATTCGATCACGTGATTATATGAACATAAAAACCAGACAACAGAACGAGTAAAATAAAGAATTAAAGAAATTAAATACAGGGTCTACTTAAGATGAAGGGCAAAAAAAGATATACGGCGATAAAGTTGGAAATAATTAGGAAGTGTAGGGCAGCTAAGGAACAGTGGACTGATATGAGGTGTAAAGTAGTAGAGGAAAAGTTTAAAGTAGGTCAATCGGTTGAGGCTTATTATATAACTAAAAGGAATTTTAGAGAAGTAGGGTACAGTAGTAATAATATAAGAAACGAGGTAGGGATCATTCTGATAGAAAATGAGGAAAAGGCAGACAGGTGGGAAGAATACATAGAGAACCTATACGTTGACCATGAGCCAGGAGATATACGAGGGTGGATTGATAAGTTTCCGGCCTAACCAAGAGATGACGCCACTAGGCCTACCTTGAGGTGACATTCTATAGTACCATCCTTGGATAGCTTGTAGCTATAGTTTCAGCCCGATCTCCTTGCTAGTGTAGGTTTGACAGCACGCTGAACAAGACGCCTCTGTGGTTTTCGTAAAAATGGAAAAGCAGGAAAATCCGTGCTGTCATCAAATACTTTTATTTGAAGGGGTTAACGCCGAAGGAAATTAAAAAAGAGATGGACTCAACACTGGGGACATCCTCCCCGTCATATTCAACCGTTAAGCAGTGGGTTTCCGAGTTTAAAAAGGGTCGTGTGAGCACCTCTGATGGGCCTCGCTCAGGACGCCCCGTTGAGGTCACAACTCCAGATATGATCGAAAAAATTCATCAAATAGTGCTGGGAGACCGCAGATTGAAAGTGCGTGAGATAGCTGAGACCTGTAAGATGTCATATGAACGTGTGCAACATATTTTGCACCAACATTTGCATATGGAAAAGCTCTGTGCAAGATGGGTGCCGCGTTTGCTAACAGTCGACCAAAAATTGATTCGAAAAAACATTTCTACCGCAAATTTGTCATTGTATAAGCGTAATCCAAGCGAATTTTTGCGTCGATTCGTAACCGTTGACGAAACGTGGGTCCACCACTACACTCCTGAAACCAAAGAACAGTCTAAACAGTGGATTGGACCAGGGGAACCAACTCCAAAGAAGGCAAAAACAATTTTTTCGGCGAACAAGGTTATGGCTACTGTTTTTTGGGATGCAAGAGGTATTATATACATTGATTACCTTGCAAAGGGTAATACTATCACTGGTCAATACTACGCAGACTTATTGCAACGTTTGAGCCACGAGGTGAAAATTAAACGACCTCATCTGGCGAAGAAAAAAATCTTGTTTCATCACGATAACGCACCAGCGCACACGTCAATCGTTGCGACGGCTAAAATCAACGATCTAAAGTTTGAATTGATGCCGCACCCTCCTTACTCTCCAGACCTAGCCCCGAGTGACTATTTTCTGTTCCCTAATCTCAAAAAATGGCTTGGCGGTAAGAGATTTGCGGACAATGAAGAAGTAATCGAAGCTGTAAATGGTTATTTTGAGGAGCTTGACGAATCAGTCTATAGAGATGGCATTAATAGACTGGAACACCGCTATGAGAAATGTATCAGCCTTGGAGGAGATTATGTTGAGAAATAAAAAAAAAAAATTTTTAAAAACCTTGTTTTTCTTGGTCAGGCCGGAAACTTATCAATCCACCCTCGTATTACAAAAGTAAGATAGTGTGGAGATAGATGAAGTAGGTTATTCCATAATGAGAGAAGAGTTCGATGTAGCATTAAAAACTTTAAAGAATTATAAGGCGCCAGGTGTAGATGGGATACAGGGGGAAATTCTAAAACATGCAGGACAAGAGGTTAGAGATCGTATGTTTAAGCTTGTTAGTCACATTTACGAAACGGGGAAAAGTCCCAGAGAATTATAAACGAAACGTGGTAGTAACCATACCTAAAAAGAGAGGCGCGGATAGGTGCGAGACATTTAGAACTTCCCATGCGTCAAAAATGTTAATTAAAATTGTACAGAGAAGGGGAAGATTAATTTGGTTTTGAAACAAATAGAGGAACGCGGGAGGCCATTCTAGCTTTACGAGTAACAATACAGAAAACGATAGAAGATGATACTTCCTTTGTATAAAGAAACTAAAACGAGCCTATATCGTTCACCCTTACCGCTAGATCACTTAGTAATTCCCGATACTACGACAGGATTGTATTTTCGTGTATGGCAACATCCTGCAGGTATTTCTAATAATAACAGTTCAAATATTGGTAGTAACTTACCTAAAAGCCTAGCTCTAATTAATCCTTCCCTCTTCAGTGCCCGTACTATCCGTACTTTTGGCTCATTTTCGAAGTAATTCTCCAGCTGTTGTTTCAAGTGCGCCATGTCGGAAAAATCGTCAACGAGAATGATTTCTTCTAGCAGATGCGATGGGGATCTATCCAAAACGGAATGTACAGTTCTCAGAAGCACTGACCAGGCTTCATTGTGGAAACAAATTATCACAGATGTTCTGGGGAGATTTTTCAGGTAACGATTAGGTTCTTTACACCTGAAACAACAGAAAATGAATATATTTAGTCATTGTTTCATAATAAATAAAAATTATAAAATCAGCGGCAGAAGAATGATTACATGCGCTGTCATAAAACCCAAGGAAGGCGCTGCTTTTACTTTATTTAACTAAGTTTATAAACAATTACAAAAGAGCCATTTGTCTTTCTTTGTTTCGTAACACTTTAAAAGGATTATTATTTCAAAAATATTTTTATTAAGTAAACCGCCCGAAATAAGGCAATAAAATTCAATTTGTTTGCATATCATGACATTGCTATTAAAATTTCACAGTTTCCGATAAAACACAAAAACCCGTTACGACAGATTAGTGATACTTTCGGTTGATTTACCTCGGGAAACTTTGAGTTGTGCCTCTAATGGACTGTGACCATCTCATGTATTTACTTTACAAAATGGCGGAAAATTGATTTTATTCGCAATACGAAACTCACGCCATTTCATATTTCAAATGAAACAATACATAGCTTTAATAAACTTTATTAACTTCCCATTAGGAAGTTATTGTAATTGGGTCGAAAAGTGAAATCGGAATTTTCATTATATTTCCACGTTTTAACATATTAGTAGCATGCTAGCCAATTTTTTTGATGATGTGTGTATGTACGTACGTACGTACGTACGTACGTACGTATGTACGTACGTTCGTATGTCAGCATTTTTTTCGTTTTCGATATCTCAAGAACGGATTGAGATATCGCCCTCAACCAAAATTTTTTCGAAAGATATTATCATAATGAAGATCTGAAAGAAATTTGAACGAAATCGGTCAAGCCGTTTTTTTTTTATAAAAAAAAAACGAATTAATTACAAACAATTTAATTAAAATACGTTCTAATCTAATCACAACAATGAAGTTACGGAATCAATAATAACTGTATTATCTAATGGGAAGTTAGTCGTATTAGCACCGACCAAAGCGTGCTCAGACCAATTTTTCCAACATATTTTGCTTGAGGAATTATGCAAATATTTACAGAATTAATATGTACCTACTTGGATTCCATATTCGGGTCACTTTAGGAAGGCGAAGTGCGTATAATAAAATAGCTGTTTAGGTACTCTCTTCTACAAATCCAACAATACACACTTTTTATATCATAAATTGAAGTTTTATGTACCAAAACAGCTACAGCAAGATTGGAATAAAAAAGAACGACACCAAAACAATAACTTTTATAGGTTAGGATATCTCAAATCCTACACGGTTTAAGGATGTATATAAGATTGCAATGACTGATGTCTCATGAAACATATTACAAAATAAACTGTTCAATCAGTCAATTTAATGCGTTCATAAATGGAGAATCGAAAGGGATAGACATGAATGCTATTCTGTGATAATTAGATAATAATGTCAATAGACGGAGTAATGTTAATTTAGCCGAATAACCAGGTATACGTAGTTCGAGAGGGACGTAGCGGGGCGAATTGGTATGCGACCGCCAGATATTTATTTAAGGACGTCAATTTGAGTGCGGGTGTCTGAAATTCCACTGCAGATGGATCGTAACCGCCGTCGACACCGTTTTCCACTCAAATCTGAATATATTCGTGCTAGTGAAGCGAAAATATTGAAAGATGAATTGCCAACTCACCATACGTACATACGTATACGTATACGTACACACAGACATAACATATACTCATCGTCAGCTTCAATCAAACAAGGATTATTCGATTTTTGCAGTGCCAACTACGCCACTTTAAAGAGTGTGAGCCTTGAGGAAGCGGGAAGCGGGAAACTGATATCATTCTTTCACCATCCTATCCAGAAGTACATTGACTACTTCATATATTAGCTATACGAATGTATGCAGACGCAGATGAAGGAGGAAATGAGTCAAATACTCAAACAGCAAACCGAATGAACTGAAGTGTACGGCAAACATGTTTCCTGAAAAGGTTCGATAATAAAAATGGCCGAAAGTCATATGATCATGAACCTGCAAACGGTAATAACGCTTCCGAACTCATGAATGCAGAAAAGAGGTTAGATTGCCACCAAAAGGTCAAGTAAAGCCATTGTTGTGAATTGGACATTGTGTTTATTTTATTATAGTTATTAGTTTATTCATCTTGAGCATATTACCATCTATTTATTAGTTGTACGTGACTATTTCTACTTTCATTTTTATTGCCAAATATCCCTTATACCTTCCTTCCTAGAATGTCTAACCACCTGTATTCATTTCAGAACTTATTTGTATATTTATTAAGTTATATACTTATGACTATATTACTTCCGTATCTTTCTCGATTAGAGATAGTTTATCGACCACCATCACAGGAAAAGCATCTCTTCTGAACGAGTTATATTAGATTAAATAGATTTTTATGAACCCTTGTGTTATTTATTGAAGTGTTTTTAATTCAAAACAGCCATTCACGCATTTTTTGAATGTCATGGAAATCTATTTCTCTCAGAAAATAAAAGTATTTTCTAGGATTAGCTTAGAGTACATTCTAATCTTTTAAATAGCCCTTGGAATGACCTTAGTCTACATAATAAATTTCGAAGTGAAGAGCCAGGCGCGCGACCACCGTACCTCTGCCACCACTAGTGGGTCGTCATGACAACGGTTATATCGGCGGCAAGTTTTCAGACAGATGAGCCATCTTCGAAAGGTTCTCTGTCGTCATTATGGAAAAACTTATCAATGTTGAGATGAAGCCAAAGAATTTTTACGAAGCGCGAAAATACCACCGTCTACTTTTCTGGCTATGATACACTGTATAATAATATTTAATATGAAATGTTCTCAATTTTTACCCACTACACATTTCCTCAAATTAATGAGGAAAAATTTTGTTGCTGTTGTCACACCCCCGCCGGGAATCGAACTCGGGCTCTTTGGCTTTACGCGCCAATGCTTTGACCACTAAACTACGAGAGATAAGGAAGTGTGTAGTGGGTAAAAATTGAGAACATTTCATATTAAAAACTAACTCACTTCGGGAAGATTTCTGTATTATATGTACATATATTTATATTCAGTATATAGTTACATTAGTTCGACGGATCTGTGACTAATGGTACGGTTTGGCGTTGTTGCTGTTGTCATCTCTCGTAGCTTAGTGGTCAAAGCATTGGCGCGTAAAGCCAAAGAGCCCGGGTTCGATTCCCGGCGGGGATGTGACAACAAAATTTTTCCTCATTAATTTGAGGAAGTGTGTAGTGGGTAAAAATTGAGAACATTTCATATTAAAAACTAACTCACTTCGGGAAGATTTCTGCATTGTATGTTGTACGCATAATAATATCTCTTTTCTAAACCCTACGATCATGATAGTGTTCGAACGAGAGAACGGAAGGATCCTTGGGGATTTAAATTATTTGCTGAATTTTAAACTGTGGCTTCGTTACGAATTGGACGTGTCCTTAAACTGGTACCGCAGATTATGGTTGCAAAGTAATCCGTAAAATGATCGATTGTTACACAAACTTGCTTCTCCTATGATCAATAAACATGATCAACTCCTAAGCGGATTCAATTACGAGGGAAATACAAACAGAATCAAAAGGAAATAGGGCTAATTTAGCAACGTGGGTACGTACATAAAACAGGGTCAAGTGCACCAACCCATGTGTACATATAAAATTAAGTTCTTGCTCTTGATAACTGCTGGTGATATTGAGAGTGTTGAGTTCAAGTGTATTCGATCGTATTAGAAGGAGAATGGGAATATTGAAAAGTAGCAGATTCCTGTTTCGTTCAACTAATCGATTGAGGAAATTTCACGGGACGCAATAACAGGTTAGAGCATCTTATTGGGAACAGTTTGCTCACCAACTTGAGAAGAGCTTAAGAGGTCACAAAATTAAATGGGATGGATAACTACATGCGTACATAACTCGTCTATTATGTAGTTCAAAAATTGTAATTTATAAGATGTCTACCCACAACTTGCCTGTTACTGTAGAAATCTAACCAGCAAATTTTAGGTCAGCCAGTTCAGGGTTCAGGGTGCTGTAGCATGTTGGTTAGAAGAAAAAACCTTTGCATATTTCACTCTCGCTACCGATGCTGGCGAAAGGGCGGTTCCTCCGACCTACACTGTAGTGCATATACGAAATATAATGGGAAAGGAAAGGAAACTTTCATCGTTTCATCGTAGGGATTGATGGGGGGTTGGTAAGAAAGAGACAGTTCAGACGGGGAAATGAAAACAGAAGGGAGACTTTCGGACTTCCACGTTTTTATTTATTATACCGTTACAATTTTTCGACATACATACGTATATCCGATTCGACGGGACTTCAACCTTGACGAAACTCTGGTAGAAACTAGAGTGGGTGGATTGGCTTGCGAGTTTCGATGATTTAAGGAGCTGGACCATAGGTTCAACCATAATGGAGGGGTTCTTAAAGAGAAACCAGACTAAGACAAGTCCCTGAAGGAGGGCAGCAGCTTTTTCAGTACTCAGGGTGACAGAGATCACGAGGATCGGTATGACACTCTGACGCACAATACTGTAATGTGGAAGGCAACGGGAAATCACCATATTATGATACCCCAAGGAAAACAAACCGAACTCAAATGATGGCATCCTATGGAGTAAAGCACTCCGGACGTAAACTAGTCCCCCATTCGGATGTCCGGGCGGGGACTACCTCGGGGTATGTCATTAATAAGTGCAATAGGGGTAGGTGTAATATTTCACAAGTCGGAGCGTAGACTGTTAAGACAATGAGGCAAGTAAGAAAAGTAGGCATTAGTGAAGCCCGTTGACCAGAAGCTGGATACTTCTGGAGTGGAGATTTTAGAATAATACATACAGGACCGATGGAAGGTAATTTGGGGGTGGGAATTGTAATGCATAGGAAAGCAGGATAGAGTGTAGAAAGTTATTTACAAAAAAGCGATAGGATAGTTATGGTTAAATTAAACTCGAAGTCGGTAAAAACGGTGATAGTGCACATCTACATGCCTACATTATCTTACAAAGATGAAGACGTAGAAGCGGTTTATGCAG